AGCAGATAGTTGAGCGGTTTGGTACCCCAGGCAGTGCTGAGTATGGCAGCTATCAGAGTCAGCATCTTCAGATACACAAAGAGCAAGCCAGCAGTTGCCATAGATATGCATTGAGAAGGAATCCCTTTAAACAGCTGCTGTGTGATCTGAGCTATGTGGCCAAGGGAGTCTTGCACATCCCAAAACATTGTTTCAAGAATGCAACTTGATTCTGTAGAAAATTGAAAGTGAGCAAAAAAAAACCACACAAGCAAACAACCCATGCAACATTGGGTAATATTGTGACCTTTTGCCATCCTTGAGATCTGGAAAGAGGAGCAGACCGAAGCCAGAGGAACTGAGTTAACTGCACACAGTATGATAAGCATCTGAGTAAAGCTGGGGACTATTTATAGTTATCAAGAAAGTGGTTTGAGAGAGGCTTTTCTCCCTATGTGGGCAGAGGAGGCTGATCACAACAGCAATGTGGGGGGAAGCCCCACTGGAATTTTCTCTTCACCCCCAAATCCAAATTGATGGCCCAGCAGGATTATCAACCCTTTCAGTTTTATTAATTGCCTACCATTCAGAGACTCCCTAGAGCTCCCCCCCCTTTCTCCTCTGCTAGTCAATCACAGCTGTAGGCAGCACAGCCAATCACAAGCATCACTATGGCCAGAAAATCCACCCTTCATCTGTGTCTGGAGGAAGCTGGGACGGTAGGAGGAGGAGTCTTTTAGCCTACCCTACCTTACAGGGTTGAGTTCAGTTAGATGCCAAGCAGTTGTACTACTGCATTGTTTGAGCATCTTCAATATCCACACTTCCTCTTGCCCTGCCCCTCCCCCCCCCCCCCGCGAATCACAGCAAATATCAATTGGGATTCCTCTGGATTGATGTTTGCTATGATTTTGTGCTAAAGAGCGGGTTTTCTGGGGGAAAGTGGTGATGCAAAGGCAAAACCTCTCAGACCCGTGCCTAGAAAGGATGAGACTAACAGAAAATGGCTCGGCCCCATGCTTTCTAGTCACGGACAAGCAGAAGTGTGGACAAGTCCTATATTTGCAAGGGGAAAGGATGGGGAGAAAACCAAAACAAATCAGAACTACCTCCAGTGAGTCCATTGGCTGTCCCACCTGATCCAATGGTCACCACTAAAGCCCCTGGTATGTGATTGTCTATGTACTGTATATATTTATCCCATGATTTCCTTGGACCAAAATGAAAGCATTTTGCAATGTTTTGTTTTGCAAAACTGAAAGTGGGGGGAACGGTGTGTGTGTGTATGTAGTCATAACAAACAGTGTTCCTTCTTATTTATTTATTTATTCCAAAAACCCTTTAGCTTTCTCTCTGTCTTTCTCTGGGAGAGAGAGAAAAAACACACACCATATAATCCGTCTCCAGCCTAAGTGGGAAGCTTGTTAATGGCTGCTCGCTACACAACTGCAAAATCAATGAACAAAACTGTTATTTCAGAACCAGGAATCTGTGTTCCAGTGGCAGCTCTAAAATCCACATATACCCTCTTTATCTGGAGCGTGATGCACCTCTTTCTTTCTCTCTCTTTCTCCCTCTCTCTTCCAGATTCTCAGTTTAATTGTCTTCTTCCAAGCAGCAAAGAGCAGGGAATGCTTAGTACCGTACTTTTGGAAAGGTCAGAGGATACGATGGCTCCTACATGAATGGCTGTGTGTGATTTGTCTGCCTGCCCCAATGAGTCTCTCCTCTGTCCCAGCAAAATGGGGAGATAAATGACTACCAAGCAGCTGGGAGGGCCAACAAATGGCCCATTGAGAGTGCAGGAGGCCTCCGTCGACACTCGTTCCTTCCCGAGGCAGAGCCCTGCTGTTCTTGGTTCTGCCCATTCACATCCATTCTCAGAACCTGAAATGGCCTTCTCCAAACTGCATGTCATCTGCAGCAGGAGAATTTCACTGGGAGCCTTCTGCACTGCCAACTTAGGGTACCTTCAGGCTGTCACTGTTTTGAAGAAGGGGTCCAAGCACATGCTGGAAATTCAGGTGTGTGCAATTAAAATGGGTTAAAGGGCTCTGCTGTCCTAGCACAACAAATCTGCTCTTTTAAATGACTTTTTCTGGTTAGGCAAATGATAAGGAAATGTACCAAAAAGTATGAACTAATTGTGCTCATTGCTGCACTGTGAACAAATGCTCAAGCAAAGACTGGACATAGTCTAACCTCCCTCCATGTAAGCTTTGTGCAAGAAAAAAGCAGGCTGAGTGATGAATAAACAGGTTCTCTGGAGAAGCCCTTCGATTGGCTTCATCCTACTTTTACCATCCTTGGCTGCTCTTAGAATCCTGGGAGCTGTAGTTTTCTAAAAGTGCCAAAGAGACATAGGACTCATGTATACTGTTGTTTTTAGTGTGGGTCACAAGCTTCCTGAACCTCCATTAATTCTCCATTGTCCACAAGATGTTCTTCTTCTCCAAATCACTGTCCTACCACACTTCTCCTTCCCTCAATCTAGCTTGGTTTTTTGTTTTTGTTTTCATAGCAAATATACTCTGAAAAAGAGAGGAGCATGAGAAAATATGGATTGAAGGAGGAGAAAGTGTGGGAAGCTGGTGATCTGGAGCAGAATGCCTATGGGAAATGAATGGAGGAAGCATGGACGAGCCAAGTGTCAGTCATTCTCAGCCCCTTTCTTTTAATGAATTACAGTTTGCAGGGTTCCTTACAGAAGAAAAAAATGCTGCTGTTATTCCAGTTTAATTCAGCTATGCAGAGATGCCCCTATGGATGCTATCCCATATGAATGTACTTGGGAGCAAGGTCAATTGTACTCAATGGGTCTTAATCTTACTTCCAAGCAGACACGCATAGGATTGTGACTACTGGCAGATCTTCTCTGTGAGTGACCCTATTAGCTCATTTAGCTCTGTGATGGGGAACCTGTAGCCCACTAGATGCTGTTGGGCTCCATCTCCCATCAGCCCCAGCCACCATAGCTGTTGGTCAGGGATGATGGGGTTTTTAGTCAAGCAATACTTTTGAGACCACATATTCCCCCCAGTGAGTTGATCATAGAATGATGCTCATATGCTCTTCACAAGTCCAGTCAGATGCCCCAGGGTGATGTGGTCTGCACAAGTAAAATGCTGTTTCAACTCTATTTTCTGGCTTGTCTAGAACTCTCCTGAAATGTCATAATTCCAGCTTCAAGTACTTAATACTCTGGCAGATGGAGAGATTGATGGTGAAACTGCAAATGGCCCTGCTGTCAAAACCAGGCCTGGAGTTCATGAAGTAATGGTAAAGGGTGCCACAGAGCATACTCAGAGTGCAAATCCCACAATGTGCATATACAGCAAACAGAAACTATGTGTCCAAGATTAGCATTGACGGGCTTCCAGGTCCTCTTATACTCTGTAAAGCAGCCGACCCACTGATGATACCTGAGTGACTGATTTGTAGCAAGCAATAGGTTAGAGAGCTTGATATTTATAAAGGTATGAATCACAGCAGCTATCGTTTTAGAAATTAAGCACCATCCTTAAAACACGTCCCTTTCTGTTACTTTCACAATTATAAACACAGCTTATTGGGGAAAAACAAAAGGCATATGTGTACAGGCATATGCTTGTAGATTTCAAATAATGGGTTATTAAAAACAGTTTCAGATGGCTGAAGCAAATTATTACTATTATTACAGACTAAACAGAGTATTTAAATCCTGGGGGAGACACACACATACACAGAATCTTCTGCTTGGCCCAGTTCTGCATTCCTGGGCGTGGTTTGCCTCACTGACCAATCAAGCTAGGTAGCATTTAAGCCATACAACCGAGATGGGTACTTCAAATGTCATGATGCTGATGATGTATCTCTGGACAACCCCCTCCTTTTGTTCAAAATTAAAAGGTGAGTCAAGTATATCCACCACTCGAGGCTGCCTGCCTTTCTCCACTATGCTTCAGACATCCAAAATCTCACCACCACCACCCTGCTTCTAGAGGCAATGCTTGCGCCTGTAAAACTCAGTCAGGAACTGAAAAGAGAGGGTTGGCAGAGAAGTGGGCCATCTGTATATAAACCACCTGCATTTCTCACAGGGCTAAGCAGTGCAAGGTAGAACAAAAAAACCAAAACAAAAGCAGTCCATGTGAATTCATAGGAGGTGCCCCAGGGGTAAAAGATTGATTTGATATTAACAGATTCGTGCAGAGACTATAAAACGGTTGCACGGGGGTGGGAAAGAGACACCAGGGCCCTGGAAACCAGCTAGATGTATAGGGAGGGGGAGGGCCATGAAATGCAAACCTCCAATGTGCCCCACACCAGAACACATGCACAGCACATCTCCTCTTGCCACACCTGCTCCTTCTTGCACTAAACCACTTTCAAAACAAAACCAATGTCCCCGGGGCTGTGTAAAGCTCACTCTGTCTGACACTTCAACCTCACCAACTGTCTGGCACCTGCATTCTCCAACGAGCCCACACCCTGGCACCAGCCACAAAACATGACTAACTGAACTGCTTGGCATGCAAGTCCTTAAAAAAAGAAGAAGTGGGCATCTATTTCTCATCTCCACCACCCTTCCCTGCCACATTCCACTGCTGATAATGAGCAGTCAAACGTGTCCACAACATTCTGCTGCAGATCCCGCCACAGCCAGCCAGCCAGCCAGCCAGCCAGCCATCCTCCGAATGGCTTTTTCACAACATCGCCAGCATCCCTCCTCCACCTTTATCCCAGCAGCCTGATATGCCCCCAAGCTCGGGGAAGCAGCAGGATTTCAGGGTTGCGGTGCACATCGCCATTCCCAGACACCACATCATCACACAACAACCTTGCTTCAAGAAAGGGCCGGTGCCAGCCTGAAACTACCCTTTCCCTCCCCACCAACATCGTCCTTGGCATCATCACCCAAGCTCTCCTCCCAGACACCAGGAACCTTATCCAGCTCCATCATAAAAGAAGCAAAATGCCCTCGGGCAATAAATAAGAAGCCACGCCACACACAAAAAAAGCTACCCAGCATCTGCTCCTACCTGAGGGTGGCGCTCTCTCCTTGCTTGACGGTCACGTTGTCCATCGCCTTGGGGAAGGTGGCATCTCCGCTGCGCACTGGCACTCCTGCGGGCACAAGGAAGAGGAGCCTGAGAGACAGGACGACCAGGCACCGCCAGGGCAGGACTAAGCACCCACCGACCCCCATCCTGGGCTTTCCTCAAGGCAAAGATAGGCAACGGTGGTAGTGGGAAAGAGATGAACTGAAGAGGCTCTTTGGGGGTGGAAGGCAGAGAAGAGAGACGGAGAAGGGGACGCCTGACGGACGGATTAGCAAAGTCCCCAGAGGCAATCCGAAACCGGAGATCCAAAGCTCCCAAACAGCATCTAGAAAGTGGTCCCCAGTGTTTCTTGGGTGCCGGGCGCAGGAGGTTGAGGGGAGCAGAAGAGGAGGAGGAAGAGGAGGAGGCGGCTGGCACGGGGCTGAGCTCAGAGACGAGAGAGAGAGAGAGAGAGAGAGAGAGAGAGAGAGAGAGAGAGAGAGAGAGAGAGAGGAAAGAAGGAAGGTCACGGCTCTTCTTCCCCGCCTGTTTTTCCTTCTTTTTTCCCTGATGCCACCTTAAGATTCCGTCGGGCAGGCGCTGCGCAGATCCGGCATCAAAAGTTTATAACCCAAGAAGGGAGGGCAATGCAACTCTCTCTCCCCCTCTCTCTTCCACCCGCTCTCTTGGGCAGGAAATAGGAAGGGGGGACCGAGAGAAGGGGGGGACCCAAGGATAGGGAGAGGGGCAAGTTGGGCGCTGAAAGCCTTCTCCAATGATCCTATATAAATCACAATCCGCACACACAGAATGTCACTCCAAACTTCCTTTGCGTCAAGACAGAGCTCTCCAAAGTCCAAGGAAGGTTCGCAAGGCAAGGGTTTGGGGGGACCCAGCCCGCTCCCACTGCCTGGCAGGCTCTGCAAAGGGCAAGCTTTCGCTCGCTTCTCTCCGTTTCCACCCGAGCGAGCTCCAGGTAGGGCGGCAGAGAGACAGATAGTGAGAGAGAAGCCCCTCGGACCAGGCTCGGCTGCCTCTCTCCAGCACTTTAAAGGACGCGGGCTGGCAGGAGTAGCGAGCGGGAACCGTTGGCAGCTGCTATTCCTCCTGCTCTCGCCGCCGCCGATTTTCTCTCCTCCTCCTCCTGCTTCTTCTTCTTCTTCGCCACCGCCGCCGCCAGTTTCAGCATCCCCGCTCCGCTCTCCCTCCTCGCCGGGAGCATCTCCTCTGAATCCCTCTCGCGCGCGCCCGCCGACATCCGAGGGTTGTCATGGCAGCGACTGACCAACACTCGGGGCTCCCCGGCACAGCCACACGCTGCACGGTGGGGCAGGAGCCGCGCATTAATCTCGGCGGCGGAGCGGAGGACAGCGGAGCGGCCGCGGGGCTGGCGGGGTTGGGCGGAGAGGAGGGGGGGATAGAGAAAGCGAGGAGCTCGCCCCGCTTTTTTCTTAACCCTCCCGGAGCCAGAGCTCTGGGTCCGGCTGCGGAGGACGGGGAGTAGGCATAAGCCAGGCTTGGGCAAAGCGGGGTCCCCCCACCCCCACGGCTGTGCTGCTGTCATCGCGCTCAGTGCTGCAGCACCGGCAACATGCACCAAGCTGGGACATGCAGCAGCAGCAGCAATAGCAATACACACACACCGCTTCCAGGAGTCAGGAGGCTGGGAGGCAGAATGGGAAACCCAGAGACACTATTGGGATTGGCTAGCTTAAAACAAAAATGCAGGGAGGCAGTCCTGGGGTCACACAAGACTCTGCTTCAGACTAGGAGACGTGTAGGAAGTTATCTCTACTCAGCCAGACCCTTGGTCCACCTAGCTCAGCATTGCCTGCTCTGACTGGCAGGCGCCCCATTTGGATACAGAAGCCGCCTTATACTGAGGCAGGCCATTGGCCTATCTTCCCTGGTATTGTCTACACTGACTGGCAGCAGTTCTCCAGAGCTGAAGCAGGGAACTTGCCCAGCGCTACTAGGAGATGCCAGAGACAGATCATGGACCCTTCTGCATGCAAGGCTCTACCACTGAGATATGGCTTGGCTGGTACTGCTGGTGGGATGGCAGGCAGGGTGCCCAAACAGAAGGTGGTGCAAGGGTGAAGGATGGGCAGAACCAATGGAGGCTGATCTGTTAAGGCAAATGATGCACTGCTTCATCAACCTCAGCCAGCTGCCACAACTCCTGATTGCCTGTTTTCTTACAATCAGGACTGGCCCAAGACATTTTGGCACCAAAGGTAGACCCCAAAATAGCACCCTCTTCTCCACCAGTGAAGAAGTGGTCTGGGAAGATTTACATCAAGAATGTGAGGGAGAGAAAGATTGGCACTGGGATCTGCTGCCCTGGCAGACCCTGCCATCTGAGCATGTTGTCTCGCCTTGCCTTTTCAGAGGGCTAGCTTATTCTTCCTTCCTCTCAGTCAGTGTAGCCCCTTGCAAAACTTAGCAGGGAGGAAGATGGGGACAAAAGCAGAGCAAAATTGGCTCTGGTGCCACCTACCGTTGGTCTTCCCATCTTCCACCCTACCAGTCCCAATAGGTACAAGCTGCCACTGCATGAAGACAACTAATTCTAGTTTCACCTCTCTCGTCTTTGCTGGATTCTGCAAGGACAACACTGAGACTATGCAGGAGGACGAAGCTGACAAAGGCAGTGACAGCCCTTGCACAGGTTGCAAATAAGGAGGAGGCAGGCTGAGGGCTGGCTGAGGGCAAACTGAGGTTGGTGGGGCAGTGTTCCATTTGCCCAAATGGAGCAGTGGCCACAGCCTAGGGTTTCAGATGCGGGACATTCCCAGCTCTAGCTGGAGATTCCTGCATTGAACCAGGGTCTTTCTGCATACAATGCAGATGCTCTACTGCTGAGAACAGAACAGGATGCTGCGTGTGTGTGGCTGGCATTGCACTAGAGGGTCGCTAACCTGTGGCCCTCCAGAAATTGCTCCCTTCAGTCCTGATAATTGGCCATGCAGACTGGGGCTGATGGGACTTGTAGTTCAGCAGTATCTGGAGTGCCACAGGTGAGCCACCCCTGCCTTGCATCAGTTCAAAGAAGAAGGGCCAAACTGGAAGAACCAGAGCTGCCTGCTTAGGAGCAAATAGGAAGCATTTTGAGGAAGACCGAACTGGAACCCAGCTTTGTTGCAAGATGGCTGGCATCTTGATGCACGGAATCATGGAATTTGAAATCACAGAACCATGTTTTAGAATCAAGGTATGATGAATTTTAAAATTCCACTGAAGTAATAAAAATTTAGTTGGGCACTAGTCAACTAAGTTCTATTCAGAGTATAGACCCGCTGAAGTTAACGAACATGCCTAAGTTCAGTCCATTCCTTTCAATAGGTCTACTCCACATAGGACTCAGATTGGATACAACTTTACAGCTGAAAAGAACAACAGAGATCATTTCCTGACCAGTGCAGCAGAATAATAAAATCAGGGAATACAATTTTAAAAGCAGAACTTTTAAAATAGAGCTCTGTCTTTCCTTGTTCCTCCTCCCACCTATTTGTTTGATGCTCTCCAATTTAATGCAACCTGTTTACATCTCATTCTGGGAACTGAGCTATAGGTATCCATGTAGTGTGGGAGTAAACCAGTGTACGTACTTATTTATTACATCTCTCTTTCCCTTTCATGGAGTTCAGGGCAGTGCACATGGTTCTTCTCAACCCTTTTATAATCACAACAGCCCTGCAAGGTTCTGTTGTGGAGTGTCATGGGGGGGGGCTTCTAAGGAAAGTTTAAAGAAGGCACATGAGTGGGTTATTCAACATTAAACTTCAAAACACACACACAGAGTAGTGCATTTTTGAAGTATGTTGTTGAAAGGCCCCATTGGAACTGGTGTATTAAGTATGCATACCAATGGCTCCAAGAATAAGGTTCCTCTGCTCCCCATATCAGGCGGGGGGTACATTTCTCTGCTGTGCATCTGTTTTGTATGGCAAACCCTGAAACCATTACAAAGGAGGGCTTGCCGTGGCAGCATGCAATAAACAAATAAAAATAAGTGCAGCTACCACAACTTCCTGACACAGCTAGAGGCTTTGGAGCATTAAAAATGGAAGGGTCCTTGGAGACCCAATTTGTGAGAATGTGTGAAAGACAAAAAAGGAGCAAAGCAGAGGGAGAGGAGAGGTAGCTAGGCTCCCTTGGCTACTATTTGTGACTTTGCGGCAAAGTCTCTTGATTCCAGAGAAACTTCTCTTAGCAATGGCCAGCTGTGTGTTTCTGCCATAGCTCATGCAGACAGTCCTAAATCCAATCCCTGGCATTTATTGGCTGAAAAACTCCAGGCTAAAATCCTGGAGAGATGTTGTCAGCAGGGGTAGATTTTGGTCTTTCAAATGTCAGCGGCACCCTATGCAAGGCCAACATTTGGTGACCCCCACCTCTCGCCTTCTGCTCTGCTCAATTCACTATGACATAGTTGCAACGGGTTGCAGAGTCTCCTTCAGCTCAGCACCCAGTGCGGGGGAACTGGTCGCGATGCCCTAAATCACCTCTGCGGCTGGTCAGTGTAGACCAGTGCTTCCAAACTTGGGTCTCCAGCTGTTTTTGGACTATAACCCCTGACCACTGATCCTGCTAGCTAGGGATGAGGGAAATTGTATGTAGTACAAAAACAGCCGGAGACCCAAGTTTGGGAAACAGTGATGTAAACAATACAGAGCAAGGCAGACCAGTGGTCTGACTCTATATAAGGCAGCTTCTTATTAATTGAGCCTGTTTTTTGTTTGGGGGAAGGGAAGCCACAAAACCCTTATAACTCGGTGGAAGAGTATCAGGTTTGCATGCAGACGTCCCCAAATTCAATTCCCAGCAACTCCAGGTAGAACTGGACAATGCCTCCTGTTTGAATAACTAGAGAGTCGCTGCTGGTCTGACTAGGCAAGTTTGCTCTTCCCCAAAACACTTTCCACTTGTACCTGAGGAAGCAGGGATGGTTGTGCCAACAAAACCCTCCTTCTTTATGCCAATGCAAGGGTGGTTAAGCTGCGGCCATCCAGATGTTAGTGAACTACAGTTCCCATCAGCCCCATTCTGCATGGCCAATGGTGAGACAACAAAATGGTGAGGCTTAGCAACACTTAACACAACATTGGTCACACACACCATTCCATTTTGAGCCTTGTCTTGGTGTTAGAACATCTGCTTTGCATACAGAAGGTCCTAGGTTCAACATTGATGTCTCCAGGTAGGGTTAGTAAGGCTTCCTGCCTGAAACCTTCAGCTAGATGGGCCATTTCTCTGGCTTTCTGTGGGAAGTTCAGCAGTTACAGCTTTTCTCACTCCCTGCATGAAAAACAGCACCTGCCAGAATTTCCTCTTCTGTCTAGCAATTAAAGGAACAGTCCTCATTTGCAGCTGATCACCCCAGACATGGTGTAGCCTGGTGTTAAGCAAAAGTAAGTGTGATATTAGAATGACTTTATCTGTATATGGTCCTCATTATGATAAGGTAATATGGCATATAGGCACCTGGAAGGTTGCCCTCACAAGGGATTGGAACATTTGGGCTGAGAAAAGGGTCCTACACACTTGACATAATGGATGTGCTGGCCACAGCTAATGGGTGTATTTTAATATAGGTTTATAGAATGTTAAAACTATCTTAATCTGTTCAGATCCCACTCCAAAAAGGAAAAAAGAAAGGCCGGGTTAATTAACCTTGAGCTCACTCTCAATCAACAGTACAGATTAGAATCATATTTTACATGCTCTTTGGGAAAGTAAATGCAGAAGTAGTCCATGCTCTCACCAATCTGATGTGTACAGTAGGAGCCAAGGAGCAAATAATTCCAATCCAGCAATCAATACAAATGCTCCCTGATGGATAAGGTGAACTTTCTAGTAGTCAATTTGATCAGGGGGTGAGGAGGGGAATTATCTGACCAATAAGATGAAGACAGTCTGGTGCTGCAGACATGGTTTTCGATGGAGACTTGTGCACAGCTTTTTGGAAGTTAGCCCTATTGAATTTTTTTTGCCATTTATTTCTTTGAAACACATACTTTCCTTTAAAAGATGTTTCATCCTGGATGTTTTTTATTGCAACAATAATAAATATTAAAGTCTTAATGGGGCCTGAGTAAACAGACCTAGGATATTGAACTACATGGCTATAAAACTTATGCACACTGGGAGTAAGATCTTCCGGACACAGTGAGGCTTACTTAAGGGTTGGACCTTAAGACTACAAAGAGCAAGATTCATATATTTGCTCATACCCTGAATCTCACTTAGTGTCCTTGTGTCAAATCACTTTCTTATCAGCCTTGGCTATCACATAAGGTGGTTGTGAGAACAAAACTGAATTGCATCCATGCATGCTACTTTAACCTGTTTGGAGGAAGCACTGGATACAAATAGGA